AGTATAAACCTTCGATACATTAATTTAAAACGTGTTAAAACTTAAATGAAAGACTCACATGCTGGAAGCTTAAATGGGATAAATATATGCTTTGTACTTGATATGAGATATTCGTACCAGGTCGACTAGACTGAGGAAGCAACTGAACCGAACTGGAGGGACTATTAGGTCCAACAGGGAGTGAAGACTTCACAGGTCGAAGGATCCCCAGGTCAAAGAGAACAACAAGGATACGGAGAACGCCAGCAATCGAACTAGGGCCCTTGGATTGCCTGTTGAAGTCCGTCCTGAAGGTAAATACGGTCGAAGGATCGACCAGATAAGCAGAGTGCAGAAGCTCATTGTGAGTAATACTCTACCTCGAAGTAATTCGGGTCAGTCGCATGATTAGACCGTCTAATGTAGAAGACTAAGGGATAAGATGAGATATTATGGAAATTTTACCCTCACGTGGATAGGATCACGTGGCCTAATAGAATTGAGCAGTTCGAGCAATTCTGGCAGTATGAACGGACAGTCTGTGTAGTCCACATGCATAGGTTTGAGCAACAAGGTATCATCCCCCTATATAAAGCAGTAAGATATGCCCAACATAACATTACACTTTCTAAATACATTTACATATTGCACTTTATTTTCTATAAGTGCTGAATTATACTTTGGAGACACTTAACCGGAAAATCCCTCGGTATGAGAGTCCTGCAGGTCTAAAGGCGTTCAACAGGCAGAGTAGCTAAAGATCAGTCTGATTCCAGTCGATCAGAGGTCAACAGCTGTATAGTATGCCATATACGGGTATGTTACTAGTGTGTCTTAAACATTGAGGATTTAAGTTGAGCATGGTTCAATAGAACGAAACTTTAACACATTAAGATACACTAGTACAACGCCCTTGAACTACACAACTGTTTGATTAAAAAAAAAAAAAACTTAATCGTGCATCAAAAAAATAAAAAGAAAAAAAATTCTAATTATTAAATAAAAACTATAAGTAATTTCAAGAAAGTAAAGGAATTTGTAACATTAACTCCAATTCTAAAAATAATTTGGTATGAAATATTATTTGATTTATTTAAGATATATGCATTTTTTGTCAAAATAAAAATGAATAATTAATTTATTATGCAGTTAATATAACACCCGTGAATAACTCGAGTGCATTAAAATAATATATTTAATTTAAAAAGTAAGTAAATAAATTTATATTATTATAATATAATGACAAAAAATTACATGGACAAATTAACAAATTTAATTATTTAAAATAATACTTGTATTTTATACTCGATTTATTAATGATATTTTTTTAATCTCTCTCTCTCTCTCTCCCTCTCTCTCTCTCTCTCTCTCACACACACACACAGATACACACACACACACACACACACATATATATATATATATATATATATATATATATATGTATTCTACAACTCAATAATTTAATTTTGAAATAATTTAAATTTTTTTCAAGTTTGATTATATAT